GCTGCTAAAGAGCAATAACAATTTCACAAACGACTGCAGCCTTGGTTGGATTTATCCGGAACCCTATTCAGCATGGGGAATCCGGAAAATGGCTTCCTGGAATTTACGCCGTTACGGGGTGCTGTCGGGTAATCCCAGGACAGGGATTTTCGTTAGATGGAAAATGGAGAAAAGGGCCAGCATCTCATATTAATGGTATCCTTTCGTGTTTTTTTTACTGAGTGTTTGACTCTTTTTTTGTTCTGAGTGTAACATGTCCAGTATATGCTGGGACCCATTGGAAATCAACTTTTACAAGTTGAAGAGAAGAGGGAACATAGCTGCCTTGTGATGAAATAAATTAACAAATATTTAAGAGGATATATTAAAAGGAACGGGTCTTGTTTTAAACTGCAACTGGATCCATGAAAAATAAGAAATTTAAACATCTGAATATTAAACTTAAAGTTTGCTGTATTAAGCCCCATTGGGGCAAGAATATGCAATAAACTTCATTGTCATTAAAACTGTAGATGAATAGAACCTTCTATACCCAATGCTTCGACTTTGTTCACACGCATCCTGATTTACCATTTAGCATTACCGTTACGTTACCGTAGGCATTTTTGCTTTCTTATATGCATGTAATGACTTGGATTGTTATCAGCTGTAGACTGATTGATCATGACACTCCTACTGAGAAGGTTGAACTCTATACGTTAAGCCTTAACAGGAAAAACAACGAATGTAGAACGTTGTTTTCTTACAATGACCCCTACTGATTATTTTGCAAAAGATTAGTAAAGGTCTGGGGAATTCGTATATTTCATAGCATTCACTCTGATTCATCGCATTCTAAATGGCACATTAGGCATTCAATTATTGTCGTATTTCGTCGAGTCGTGACTTATTGGAGTGATTTTGTAGATTGCCTTTAAATCTATAACCATAAAACTGCAAATCGCATCTTTTAATTGCCAGCGAGAAAAATATTCTTAATTTATATTCCACCCCAGGCATCAGATAAAGAATTAAACTAGGTGCTATACTATATTGTTTGGAATGATGTAGATTCCTTGTATATTTGATTATGACAGCATATGTACAGTGCTATTTGGCATCTAATAACTCTAGTATCAGTTTGCATGCTTCGGTAAGCTGAGGCTATTAAACATCCCTGGCAGAACAAATAGTTCCCCTCCCCACTATCGATTTGTAATACATCAATAGCAGTGTTCAGTTGCTTGTTTTCAGAATGATAATTCTAGCTCTGCATAAAATCAAATATTCAAGCATACTTTAAAGCAAGTGTAAAGGATCCGTTCCTTCAGTTGTCTTAAATAAGTTGTGCTTAAATATCGGATGTTATGCAGTGATCAAGATCTAGAGAGGCGACAAGGTTTATGGATACCAAAGCTTAGTATTTTATGTGTAGGTTATATGAAAGGTTAGACTAGTTGTTTGAGCTAACTTTAGTGATAAAGAGTACGACTGTTATTAAAAAAATATTTTTTGGCGCGTTTTGCTATCTTTCAAATCGTATAATCATATGTCTCACAAATGCAATTTGGATCACTCATTGTTCGATAGTGGTTAGCTTCCAATATCGAAATGAAGAATGGTTTATAATCTTGAACATCAATATTACACGAGGACATTCCGGTAAATGCCTATTTTCCAAGTAAACCAAGCGCAACGTACTGTATGAAGAAGATATGCGGGTACTGTAAGCATGTACTGACAATGATGTATTTGTATGCATATTCGATGTGTCCTTTGAGTTCTCTGCAAACAATCATCTCCAAAATGCATTTAAGACTTGACTTTTCGAAGTGACTTCCTCAAGAACCCCTGGATTACAAGTAAGCTAGTCTGACACAAGACGCCTGGAAGTTGAATGGCACGGAAAGTATTTTTGGCATGCACTTCCAACCGAACTGTACGCTCGTCTTTCACTTGTCTTTCACACGCGTTTATTCTCTTTGCTGTAAAATTCACACAGGCGCCAGGTATTGAGAGGAATAATAGGATCCAATGGTATCATGTCCAACGTTCAAAACATGTAACGTGTTACATGTCAGGACAATTATGCGATCCAATGCTTGCTGACGTCGGTTCTTGGGATTCTCGCTTTCATGATTTGACGCGCTATCTTTTCTTCTTAGTATGCTCTAAGTTTACGATTGCTGCGTTTACGATTAAAAACGTATCACTATACAACTCCCCATCTATAAGGTACAGTGGTTGCGCCTGTCCACATTGCAGTTAAATTCAGTCCAGATAGATAAATCATTAATCTTAGATTGGATCATTTCAGGTTGGCAGATCATAACGCCGTACATTACAGTACCATGAAACCAAAGCCTTACAAACATCCCTAAATTGTGACGGAGGACGACATACACTTTCTGTAACATTTTATACACTGCATGGCACCTGTCACATCTGCATAGAGTAAATTGATCGAAGAACGTATAACTGCTGGACAATTGCACAAGGTACAATGTACGGCAACAGCTATTGAACATAGTAAAAATAAATAATAAACTTAATTATTGATTTATAACCCTACTTATTACTGATAAAAAGCAGTATTCGAAAATATTTACGTATTTTTGCGATAGAAGCGGCGTGTTGATCGCTTATTCCTAGATCTTTACCGTTTAAGATGTATGTAGGTCCAACATTTTATTGTTGGAAATCACCATAAAAACCCAGCTTTAGAACTCGTTAAGCTCCCTTTATTGGCCGATATCAGCTATCTTTGCAGAGATATCATCTTTAACAGACATATCTCTGTCAAGATGGTGCTTTCACCTGCCTTTTCAGAACCTAAGTGGCTTAACTATTCCGTAATGGCAAGCCAAATTAACCGAGAAATAGCCAGACGCATGGATCCTTTAGCGACGTAATTAGACCCGTTTGGGATAATGAACACCCCTCATCAGCTACCCTTCATCGACAAGGTCCTAATTCCTACTGTAGACGACTAGACTACGTTCAAGGTAATTTGGGTACAGAACTGGAATTAGAAAAAGGTTGCCGACTTGTCGAGACAAAAGTTATCTGATTTCGTTACCTCTTCAGGATTTGCCCTCTCAGATATCTGAAAATTGAACTCCGTGTCTATCATGTCAAAGACAACTAACGATTTTTGTCAGACCATATTAGAAACGACAAAAACATCTGTTATTAAGAAAATATGTAATAACTAACGGTTTTATGCCTTAGGTACATAAAATTACAATTTACGCGTTCTCTTCTCAATGATTTAGTGCTCAAACTCGGTAAATCGTTAAAGTTCAAAGAGATGTATGGGCCGTGGAACCGCTGCACAAAATCCGATATTTAAGCATAGTTTTTAAAAAGCCGGCGTAAAGGGTCGACGTCCGTTTCTTCAGTTATCTACAAAAACCTGAACCTTTGCGCATACTTTAAGGTTATAATATGCTTAGATTTTATGCAGTGTAATACACTGCTGGATTTGTAAAGGCAGCATGAAATCTAGACAAAAAGCTTCACTATTGTTTGGGGACATTTTATCTTGCACTTTGAAGTTCTGGAATGAATGAAACAACCCCGACGCCCCACATCTGGGACGCGTAGATTGCAGGCGCTTACTTTAACCGTTGCCCATGGATGACCCCTTCTCCTCCTATCGATATCCCATACTCAAGAAAACTCTGAGTGGAAATATTTATGAAACATTGCTCCTGGACAACAGGAATCTAACATCACTACATAATAAATCCCTTATAACGGTGCAGTCAAGCAAGGGCAATAGCAATTTCCTTCGCCGAAGGACATTGATTTTTTGGGCGATGCACACGGTCAGCCGTAGAAAGCTATATTACATGCATATTTCGTTTCTCGTTCGAGCAACCGTTTCCCATTACTTGAGGATTTAATGTTGGGTGGATTTTGAAGTGGGTTTTGCGAGCGTGTTTTCATTGTTCAAAGTGAGCTTTTGGATTACCGAGTGCATATAAGGTAGTAATACAGAGGCCTTATGAAAGCCCATCTTTAAATGCACAATATCTACGCTGCAATCGTAAACGTGGACATATTCCCTGTTTATGGCAATACATAGCCATCGCCTCCCGCCCGTCTTATTGTTAGTGTTGAAACATTTACCAGGTTTTGCGCCGTAACGGCACGTTCAGGTAATGGCGAGGCGCCCAACTCGCCAGGAATATGCGGTTTTTATTCCCACCCGAGAGGCGTTAAAACTGGCAGGCATTTTATTACGAGTTATGAATCGTGTCTGCAGACCTTACGTCAACCATCTGTTCTTATTCTCGCGAAAGGATCACCCTGTCGTTTAGGATGGAGAGGATTAGGGGGAATATATTCACAGCGTAAGACATGTGACCCACAGAAATCAATAGAGTTCCCCCCAACCCTAAGTGGCGAAGAGTCTCACTGGAGTGGCGCGCGATTGTACCTGTCAGGAACAACGCATCGCTAGCTCCTCGTCCTGCTATCTTGTAGATTAGACTTTCATTACTTAATGGTGGCGGTTTCCACCTTGCCGAGGAAAAGCTAAGGATTACTGAAGGAAGGGTGGCCGGGGCTGTCGCGTACGTGGTCGCCATACGTAAAGAGGGACTGCGAGGGTTTGGTGTAGGCTAGAGACTTAGGGAGAAGATCCTCTTCAACTGTCTGCACCGCGTAACGAGCTTGTCACCATGAGCGGCAATGTATTACCAGCTGAGCGGGAGACCTGTTGGAGATCAATTGTAACCTGCATATCTTTAACTCTATACTCACAAGGGTGAACCCTAAAACTGAAGATCCGCGTGGATATTTAGAGCTGGCGTCTCAGCTAATGGTAGAACTCAAAGGTAAGGTTACTCTAGTCGAACCGGGGGTCGTTCTGCTGACCCTTCTGCACAAGCCCCATCGGTGGCTGCAACAATTAACCTAACAAGTACGCCGATCGTGCTTGGAATATCCAGCCATGTAAAGAACACGGGAACTAGATTCGATCTTACCATAAAGAACATGGTTTTTCGAAGCCGTAGAGAGACGCTCCTATGACAGTTTTCTTGGTTCGTATCGATATTCCTGGTACTGTGCTGCTATAAACGTTTCTAAAAGTCGCCAGGCAGGGTAGAGAGGGGACTGACTCGAGGGTCGCAGGTGACGTTCATTTGATGCTCAGCATGTCCTGAAGAGGCACGCGCTGTGGTGATGTGTCGCGATGCATATGTTATTCGTTCGATGCTAATACACCCCTCGCATGCTACACCGCTTGCCGGGCGATAGCGAAGCCCCCGGAGCACGCCGCGTCGCCAGTCAACATCAACATGTAGCACGCGTTCTAAGGAGGAAGCCGGAGTAATGAGGAACGCAGTTAATCCACTGTCGATCAATAGCAGCGAATCCATCTTTACGGCGGAGTGTGTGGGGTAGAGCTGAGAAGAACCACGGGTTCCAGAAGACGAGGTACCAAGAAGCCAGCTCCCAGAACGAGAACGTCGTATATAGGTCCTATTGTTGTTGTGGTAAAGCTTTAAGATGGAAGACGGGGAGTGTGACATTGCGATTATAGACGGGGTGCCCCCGTCGGCTGACGGAAGAGCCGCCGTGGACGGTACGCTGAACCGGGTCGAGCAGCTTCAGGAAGAAACGTACGAGAGGAACGATGAAGACGAGAGGATCTTCGTCAAGAAATGGCAAATCGCCTGCGTGTTGCTGTTCGTGCTTGTTGCCGTTTTAGCGGCGGTATATTTCGTCGTCATTCGCACGAAGGCGACCAGATCGCCCCATAATTTCTACACCGCCAGGAGCAGTCTCGAACCCTTTTATCCCGTCCCCACCTTCCCCACCACCGAAGGACCGCAGGAAATCACCCGGCTCCCCGATTACCTCCTCCCGTATAATTACAAAGTGAAATTACGTCTCGATCTGTCTGAAACTACGTTTACTGGGTCGACCACGATAAATCTAAGATGCTTACAAGCGACCCAAGTGATAGTCCTAGATTGCATCGAAGGAAACATCACCAACGCGTCTGTGGCAGTGGTAGATTTGACGACGGCTGATGTACAAGTTGTGATTGAATTATTGTATGACGACAGCGAGGGGCGACTGGTTGTTTACCTTGGGAAAAGGCTTCAGGAAGGTCGCATCTATAAACTCGAGATAGCGGAATTTATGGGAAAAGTGCGCACGCAACCCCCAGGACTCTACACCACAGACTACAGACATAGCGATGGCTTACGGTAGGCAACTATCTTATTTTCTCCAATAACAATCTCTATTTTGAACTCTCTTTTGCACAATCTATTAACTTATATTGGATGAAGGAGCATTATTGTACATTTATGCTCTTATAAGCTGTAGGTCATGACGGTAAAGCCATTTTCGGTACAATTACAGTGATAAATGTGATCTAATACTACATCTACAATGGCTAACGTACATTTCTATGTACAGGATCAACTATAAGTTGACAAATCCCTTAGCTTATATTGCTGGCACTTTTAGAAGACTACGTAAATTCTCGGCTGTAATTATTTTACACCCATTGCACTTCTTATTCATTAATTCATAAAAGGGACGACTGAGTATAAATTTGTACCAAATGAATCCCCTGAGTAGCGTCTATGAAAGAAATGAATCGATGTCATTAATGTTGAGCTTTTAATCCTCGTGCTCAGGTTATTACGGTAAAATATTTGTAGATGCAGAGAAATGTTGAGAATTTAAAGGCATGCAACGAAATTTCAGGACGTAAACATATTCTGTATGAGGAAATCTGATATTATGATTTGCTGCACATTTTTGTCATTCCATACTCGAGGCTTTTGAAATGGCCAAAAAAACAAGCTACTAGAGAAACCCATTTATTTTTGGTACCACCAATAAATAGCTACTGTGCGAAACATGCATTTTCCGGCAGCGATAACGCATTTTTCATCATGTTTTGCCTCAATCTTATGGTATGGGGCTGATTCAACTTACTACGGTAAAAGAATAAACAGAAAATTGACTTTGACAATCCAGTTTTGCCGTCCTGAAATTGTATTTAATGCCTTTAAGCCAATACCAAGATTAAAATTGGAAGATACAGAATCAGTACACGATACGACGAATGTACGTCACAATCCAACATAATACTGATGAACACTGACAGGGTCACAGCCTCTTGGACCAAAAATAAGCCGAAATGACCTTTTTGTGACCATCAGATAAAACTCAATTATAGCGGTTACATTCATTCACGATCACGAGCGCTGCAGCCGCCACTGTTCTAATTACATTGCCCACATTCGTCTGCTTTGATGTGACTGTTTTTGCTAGATATTCAACAGACTTGGGCACGCAAATATCCATATTTTCGACTACTTGCAGTAAGCCCGAAGTATCGCTACGCTTTTGAATAGAACGTTTGGCAGTGGTTCAATCTCTGTGAAACCTTTAGGTCGGTTCAGCATAAAGTAGAGCTCTGTTAAGCATAGGACTCAGGAGTTTGGGGCTGCCAGTATCTATCTGTGATCTATGTTGATGTCACGTAAGGTCCAAGGAAGCCTTTCATACACAGTAGCTGTATAAAACTTCAGAAGAAAACACACCGTAACCTTTAACAGATAACAGGGTTAGATTCCCTGATGCTTTTGGAAGCTGCAGGCTCTTAGCTTCCCTGATGCTTTTGGAAGCTGCAGTCTTGATGTCAAAGAATTGATAGATATTTTTCTGCTTTTAGCGAAATTTGACTTGGCTAGACAAGGTGTTGTTACATACAGAACCATGGTCGGGCACGTCTATGAAGGTTAGACATCGAAATAATAATGAATGAAGGAATGAATGAATGAATGAATGAAGATTTTTATTGTACACACATACCCACTGGGTTAAGTACAGGTCACGAAAGAAGAATGGAATACAGATAACGTTAAATGAGTAACTATAACTAAGTAAATAGTCTGTTTCTTCTCGTTTCTACCAGTATTAGTAAAAAGGTAAGAACAGATACAGTATGTTTCATGATCGAAGGTTTGTCTAAGCTCATTAGAAATATAAATTTGACTGTACTGCTTAGGTGTATAAAGGAGGGGAACATAGGTTGTATCAGACTATAAAGTTCTGCTCTCTGTATATATATGAGATACGCAAGGAATTGTTACTCAAGCAGCTGGATAAATTTTGAAAACTGTCAGACAATTTAAGGAGCATCGCCATGTTCAGGCACAGTTTTGTATATAGACCATGCGTATCCAGAATCATGCATCACCAATGTTCTTGGATACTATCCAAAGGCTATCCAGAGCTGTGCCAGATCCTAACCCTAACTCAATAAGAAATAAAACTAAAGAAACACGGCTCTGGATGTAATATGGGGTTTGCATTTGCTTTATACGAACTGTGCATAAAATCATGTTTAGCTGTGAATATATTATATGTAACAAATCAACCTTGTCCTGGAGAAATTGATTATGAAAGCAAACAGATGGCCCCCAAGTGTGTAGTTATCATATCATAAACGACAATGAACAGCTATTTCCCAAGACACAAGAAGGGAATGCATTCATATGTCAAAATATTATCAAACAGTTAAGACTGATTAGAATGATATGGAGATCCGTATGTTGCTTTTTATATTTCAGTCCATACCATGGTATGGATGAAATATATTGTGTTCCCTCATGTTTCTTCTTCTCCTCCTTCTCCTCCTCCTCCTCCTGCCACACAGTCAAAGGGATTCAACTCTGTCATTTTTTAGTCAAATGACCTGAAATTTGGCAAGGAGGTAGAGTGGGCCAATACCCCTAGGCGTTTTTTTCATTTTTCTGATACATGCCTTTGAAAAATTTTTATGAAGGCTTTTTGGGGCATTTTTCGACAAAAAATGGATTTTTGGACCCTGAGCCCTGGTTTAACAACCAAATGATCTGAAATTCGGTATAAGGGTACCTTGAACATGTGTCTACAGAATAGCAGTCACATGTTTGGCATACACCACTTCCAAATGACTCATTTGGGGGACTTTAATGGCTATTTCAGGCCAAAAAAGGGCCAAAAGTGCTGTACCCGTTCCATGTTCTATCTAAAGAATGGCCTGTTCCATCCATGGAACATGTGTTCCATTGCAGGTTACCTGAGGTCACATTGCACGTAAGTCGTGTGTAATGACCCACACATTCAATTTTATGTGCCTAAGACCTTCAAAATGTATCAAATCTCATCATTGTTAGTATTTGCATACCTGTAATAAGATTAGTAAAGCTTTCGAGATTCAATGTGCTTGTTCTTGCATCTTTGTTCTCAATTACATAGCTACTATATAATTCATTTATTTGAGAATCTTTGCCAGTTTTACA